TTTAACTTATTAACTCGTTAATGCCCAGCCTTGTCAAATAATCGAAATTTAGTGACCGTTGTAGTCTTGTGCGCGTCCTGTGTTACACCGTATCAACTGTGAAAATGAATTTTGAAATTGTTTATAGTGAACGAAAAAATCAATTAATCTTAAATGAAAAATTTAAATTTTATAACAAAGCGTATGACCACAAAAAAATGACCGCTTTGTATATATTTGTATTGTTTAATTTTTTTTTACCTTACCATAATACGGAATTATTATTATTAATTAATTATTTAAAAATATGACGATCTTACTTCATTTTATAAAACTAGATATAGGTACTAGATATATGAGTTATATTATTTTATTGTTTTAATATTTATTATTATCCGTTATGGACGACAATGTTTGAATTGTTTTTATTCAAATAAAACTTAATTTATACTATTATGGAAAACTAAGTGTACCCTAACCTATACTGTTAATTATTTTAAAAATTGACCACATTATATTATATAACTCTATTTAAAAATATTACGATATTACTTCATTTTTTTAAAATAATAATCACTAGATATTTGAGTTATATTATTTTATTATTTTAATAAATATTATCCGTTACGGACGACAATGTTTTTATTTAAATAAAACTTACTTTATACTAAGTGTACCCTAACCTATGCTGTTAATTTAAAAAAAAAATTCTGTATTAAGTATATGATACTTTGGTTATTGTTTAATAAACAGTCTGCGGAATCAACATAAATAAATAACTGACGGAATCGATAATCGGCGGAATCAGTATAAATAAATAATCACCGGAATTGATGGTCGGCGGAATCAATATAAACAAAAATCCAGCGGAATTGATATTAAAACGGCGGAGTCGATAAAACCCCATAACCTACCTATGGGTTTTAAAGCTATTATAATAATAATTATTGGTTGTCATTGGTTAATTGTTAATTAAACTATTATTATTAATAACGTATAAGTATTAGTATTTTATTGGTATATTGGTACTAATTATGGTAAAAATGCACCCCTTATTAGGTTAATTAGATATGTGAACAGGTATAAGGTAGATTTGTTCATTTGTAATAATATTATTATCTCGTTCAATGTATACCTTAAAAATAATGTGAATATTGTTTGATTACTATTTATATGTATGAAATTATATTTCTGTATCTTAAAAATTTGTATTGTAACATTATAAGAAGTACAATGTACGAAATTTTACTTTGTAAACCTAATCAAACTTAAGTTAATAAATAAATAAATAAATAAATAAATAAATAAATAAATAAATAAATAAATAAATAAATAAATAAATAAATAAATAAATAAATAAATAAATAAATAATGTAATTCATAAAATTAGTTTATCAAGTGTTATTATAAATATTATAAGCTAAGCAGTGTTCAACATACAATTTAATTTTCACCATTGAAAGCTAACTTTGTGCTCGTTAATATAAGTGTAATATGCTTAAAAAACAAAAATTAATGGTATTTAATTTAATTACGAATAAGTGTACAAATCTATTAAGCATCATGATCAGAAAATAAACATAATAATTTTACAAAATTAACTTAAATAATATAATTAGTTTACAGAATAGTATTATTAATCCATAATTTCTAATAATAACGATAATTAGGAAAAAAATACTAGTTAAAAAAAATCGTTATAACATTTAAATGTAAGCAAAAAAAATAACTAAGTACGGAAAAAGTAGTGCAGTTATACTAATGTTTATAAGATTTATTTTAATTATTTATTTTATATTATATAATAAAAGACCTGAATTATATAAATGCAAAAAAAAACCTACATACATTTCATAAACCGATCATCTAAGTTTAACAATTAATAATTATAAATTGAGAAAAAATTAGTGAAACACGTTTAACCCAAATTTATGACATAAACTACTAATAATTAAAAAAAATAAATTACAAATATTATTTTTTTATTTATAATATAATATATATTATATATGTAAAAAAAATTATATATATGGTCCCAAAAAAAGAGTATTAGGAAGTGCCTCCAAAGAGAGCAGATAATGGGATAGTAGAAAAAGCTGTTAGCGCTTACATATATCACCAGTCTCCTCCACATGTGGGGCAGTTGGACGCTGAGTGTGAGTGTCCCAAATTGTCACAACAAGAGCAAACTTAAATGAAGACTGAAAAAAAAACACACTCATAAAGGTATTAGATAAAATGTAATGGAAAAAAAAACAGTATATTTCAGTTTGTTTAAACAATATAAATAATCTACTAATCATTACAATCAAACAGACTGTGAAACAATATAAGCATAACCTTTCAGTGGCCAAGATATTTTTTTGAAATTTAGGACATCAATAATAACTTTTAACAATGCTTTGCATGTCAACGAGTTTAAAATCGGCTATAAAAATAATAATGTTTATTCTGGTGTAAAAAAACCTTTTTTAATGTTTTGGTATAGGGTTCAGTAATATTTTATTTAAAAACAACTTATATTAACACTATTATAACACAAAGTGTCCCAAGAAGATGTGGCCGGCTGGCGTAATTGAACAGTATACCTTAGATTATAAGAAAAATCACTTAAAAGGTTGTTTTTTTTAGTTAAGGATAATTCAACTTTTTTTTTAAACAAAGCCTACTGCACATTTTCTGATGTATCTTCAAAACTTTTTACAATATTTTTTTAAAATCCTATTTTATTGTGCCAACAACTTTACTTACATACTATATATATTATAATAGGCTTCGTTAACGATATATTTTTGAATATCAATATCGTTTTGTTTTGTGCAATAATGAATCGCGATATCGAAAAAATAAATTAGGTATCGATATCTCTATAATTAGTAAACACTTTGTTTTTTAAAATTTATTATACAAATTATTCATTGGCATTAAAATCAGTTGGTTTCCGGTAACCCGGTAACCTGAAAATAAATAATTTTGATTATTGATACATTAAAAAAGTTTGAGATATCAATATCATTCTAGACTCCTCATACACAATCAAACCACAAATTACATAACGTATAGCTAAGTTGAATTGCCCACAGCTATAAAATAAAAGTTAGACCATCCCTTTAAGGATTTTTTCAGAACTTAATGTATACTATTATATTATGACGTTGGTCGGTAACTCTTCATGGGACACATTGTATTTAAAAATAGGTCATGGCGGGATCTATCCCCCCGTGTATTTATATATGCCCTTGTGTTAAAACCCATAATTTGATAAGAAAAAAAAATTATTTGATCAACAATAATAGTTATAAGCTTAAGAGAACGGTATATTGTCTCCGTCTTACAAACATAAACGTAGCAAGTTCAATTTTGTGTAGTTAGATTTAATGTTATGGTGAATTAACCTATTATCAAACTCTTAGGAAAGAACATTATCTGTTTTTCTTTACAATATTTTAATTTTAATATATTACACACTCATGATTTGTTTAAAAAATAAAATATTGACAATATGCTTGTTAGTTGATTAACAAGGGGTAAATTAAATAATTTCACTCATTTTTACATCTCACAAAATGTAAAAATGTATAGTAAATCCTTTTCCCTAAACTTATCCAGTCATGATCATGGAAGTGATTTATTGATTTTTGAGAATTGTTCATCTCCATGACAGACCTGTACTATAGATTTAGATTCTAGAAGATATTTAATTTCATATTTCTAATTTTCTGTTAAGAATTTTGTGTATAAAGGTTGTTATACTAGACAATAAAAATGTATAAACATAAAAAAATTTCCGATATTTTCACTTGTATTTATTGTAAGTGATTAAACAGTAAAAAATATCCTTTAAAAAATTCAAATAAATCATATTTTTGACAGTAAATGAAATAAGCCAAATATTATTCTAGTACATAATTTTATATAACTACTACTACGTTAAAATACATAAGTAAATAATGTCAATACTAGGGTTCGGATTTCAATTCATTTCCATATTTTCTTTACAATACTGGACAGGATACTATTTTCAAAATAAAATGTGATTCAATTACTAAAAACACTTAGAGTATGATATTTTAATTTTTTAAAAAATAAATAATATAGAGGAACTTGATATAGTTTTAAATATAAATAAAGGGATAAGTATTGAATTAAATCCTTAGTTATTATCATAAACAATGGATGGATGACCCCAACAAACACAATACAATCATAAATATTATAGGTGTTATCTAATATAAAATGTGAAATTGTTAATACAATATTATAAAAAAGAAAAAACGCAGGTAAGTGGATGTTGCTCTGCTATACAGTAGGTTACAAATGGGGAAATGTATAATGGATTGTATTTAACTTGAATTCAATGATATAATATCATTGTTTAAGAAAAACGATTCTGAGTGGAGACAGTTTGTCAGTCTGGATTTTTTTATTGTTATTATTTATTATAGCATGTGAGTTGAATTAATATAATAATATTATTATTTATTTATTTGTTTTTATGTTGATAAACAAAGCGTTAGAAATTAAAATCCCATTTTTAGAGGTTTTTTGTAATTTATCTGTAGTTTTTCCAGTGACATTAAATAATAATTGAGAAAATCTAAAAATATCTTGATCCAATTTCCTAAAAGTTAAGGTACTGTAAGTAGAAATCAAAGCACTCCTTCTGGTAGAAATTTTGTATACATATAGAATAAAAAAAAAATATATTAACATCATAGTAAAACCACTAGAATTGTCCCTACACTCAGAATCTAAAATCTTACTAAATTTGTGCAAATTTCAAACCTATGTATCAATACTTTTTATATGAGTAGCATCTATTAGTCTTAACTATCAAAATTATAATAATACTATTAAAATTCTTTCTAGTAAATTAATATATGCATTGTTAATGATCTTTTTAATTTGTACATGACAAGATTTACCAAAAGAATTACTTATTCAGAGGTTGAGCTATCCTTAATCCAATTATTTTAAAATAATGTACTGTAGTTATACCTATCCAGGGTGTCATCAGACAATTAATCATCCCAGTCATCCCAATCATCTCTATTTACACCAAATTGTACATCAAAAATTAGATTTTGCATGGAAATAGCCAATTCAGAGCGATGTTGTTCATGTTCACCCGATATGTTCACACCTGATGTTTGACGCATGAATTGATTATTTGCATTATTTCTTTGACTTCTGTTAACCTCTACAGTTAATACTAAATTATTGTTATGTTATCATACAACAAAATAATATGACTTATTTATATATTTTGTTAATTAGAAAATGTATTACCTCTATTATTGTTGCGTTCGACTTTTAAAGTTTCCCGCCTTGTTTTTATTTCATCTGGTAAACAGTCAGCTATTTTGTCCAAATAGGTGTCTAAAGTTAGACAGTATGATTTATGTTTTACATAAGCTCGGCATGTTGGGCAGTGATTAACTGTTCGGGTCCATGACTCTATGCATTCATGACAAAATGTATGAGAGCAACTAAGCACAGTAGGCTGCGAAAAAAAAACATCTATATAATTAAATCTGCTATTAATAAAGAATAAAGATTATTTAGAGGATGTCTACCCATATGTGATTACTCAAAGGCTAAATAATGCATAACATAGATAATCGTATTTCAAGAATAATCCATTCTACTGTTATTTTTAATAATATATTGAATTGGCCTATTATCAAGATTAAAGGTAAGAATATTATCCTGGGTCACACATAGGATTTTAATGATATTTTTAAACCGTAAATAGCCTAATTTTGTAGAACGGAGTCAACCAATGCGGGTATGGTATGCGTACTTTTAAGTTTAACATTATAATAATCAAACTGGAATAAATAATACTAGAGAAATTTATAAATAAATAATTTAAATAAATTAATTGACAAATGTTGAAGAGTTATATCATATAACATTTTATCAGGTAATCACTGTCTATTTTGTCAATTTGAATTAACAATATTACCTTGATGAACATTTCATAGCATATATTACATTGTAGATCACTTTCAAGGCATTGTTTCATTAGATGTTCAACCCAAGAGAAATTGTCTCTCTTATTCTTAACACGCAGCTGTTCACGAAGTGATACTACCAAACTTTCAGCTTCATTTAATTTTTTTTCAGTTTCTACAATCACACTATTGGGTGAACCTGTTCTTGTCTCCCCAGTTTTAATATCTGAAAGTAATTTTTTTTCAATTATTTAATAAAATGTTCGTACTTATATAAGAAAAAATAATATGATTACTTTTTAAGCACCATTTACCTTTATATTCAGACGGTGCAGTTTCATGAGTTTCCGATGACCTAAAACTGATATAATTTATTAATAAAACAACAAAAATTAGAATAGAAAATATATAGCATACCTACTTATTTCCTGAATTGGGAAGAACTTGATTTATTTGTCTAGGTCTAGAATTACTTCTATTTGGTGAAGCAGTCATTGGAGTAGTTTCTCTCCTTGATCCAACAACAAAGTTGATTTCTTCAGCTGAGGTATCCGCTTTAAAAATAAATATTATACTATAGAACAACAAATTGAAAATATCCTATGTAAATTGAAAATTGAAGTACAATACACCCCAGTCAATTCAATCAAATGATAATAATTCAATACACATCAAGAATAAATTAAAACAATTAATAACATTAAACTGATAGTTCCATAACAAGAAAATGGTGCTTATATTGTACAGTTTGATTTACCTAAATATTATTATACATATATTTTATTACCTATTTATTTGAATACCTACAATCAGTGACACAGTGATTTAATTATGCAAAGAATATACAATTTTTCATGACTTAACAGAGTACCTACCTATCTACCACCTGTTTTTTAAAATATATTTTTAATATTTAGGTGTATAAATTGAATAGTTGAATTAATTATTTTTTATTTTTCAATATTGTAATTTTAGGCTTGATGTTGATTTTAGTGAGTGTGTTTTTTGCTTAATTGGTTTATTGACTCGATATTATATTAGCTTTAAAGTGTACAGTTGGATACGTTCCATTAAGTAGAAGAGATAATACAGAGTTATGGATTTTAAGGTGCTCAATGTGTAAGAATTTGCGATGGCAGTAAACTAAATTTGAATGAATTGAAAAGAGGCAAATAATGATTTTTGTATGCATTTACAGTATCAATTTAAAAATTGTTTGTAGTGTAAAACACCACCATGTTATATCAATATTTTTGGCCCTAAATCTACGAATTTATGGTCAAGAAAAAGAAAATGTACCAGTTGTAGATTATTATTATAGATGCCAGTGTCGATACCTACACCATGACATCAGACGGAAAACGATGGAAAATTATAAAAACCATCGTCAGCGGACAGCGACAAATAGGTATTTCACCGCGAGTAAAGTAGAAGAAAGCGCACAACAGGTACCTACACAGACATTGAGTTGTCGTCGAACCAGGATAACACGCTCGAGGCGGATCACTTACCCTCGTCCATATTGTACGGTCTGTAGGTGGGGACGGTTCCTAGATCATGAGAGTTCCAGCATAGAGGCCCGAACCAGCACGTTCCTCTCAAGTAATAAGAACAAACCGAAGAAGAAGACATGGTGGACGTGTAATCGTGTAGGGCTCCTGTTGTAGTAGGGTCTTATCTGCAAGTCCGAGTAACGTCACTGTTAAACGTTAGTATACCAAGTCGTTCAACAACGGTATCGTGGGCTGGCTGGCTGCTGCTGAAACAACAGAGAAAAAGCATTCAGAAACAGATGAAATTTACTAAAAATGTACTGTATCCTCATTACGAGCCCGACGAGTACGTGTCTTATGGAATATGCGTAGTTGGTAAGTCTAAGTATGATCGCTACTTGTGGACAGCTTGGTATTCGTGTCCTAGACCGCGTTGGCTATGGCCAAACGATTGATAAAAAGAGCTCAGCTGTGGACGGCCGCCATTTTGTCGGTTGGTAAAACATTTCAATTATTATACAAAATGCATTAGGAATAATATTTTTTTTAATGGTCAAATAAAATAGTAAATGTAAAATGACTTTTATAAAATATTTTTTTTTTTTTTTAACAACATGCTTAGAAATAATAAAATACGATACAAAATAAATCATAATATCATCTTATTTGTGATATTATGGAATTGCCAACCGACCTTGAAGCTTCAATTCATGGTGGGAGTTCGCTATCTATACGATATAGAAATCAGTGGAACAAAACAATGGATGTTATCTATTTTAATTTTTATATTTGAACATTACAAAATCACCACTTGCAGGAGTGAGAAACTACCTTCTCTCTCATACTTAAAAGACCGCGACCACTTGCGTTGTATGATTTAACATGGCCTATCCATTCTTCTATTATCTATGGTTTTCAGTGTTAATTGTTATCATTTTTATATTTTTACACTATCTTATCAGGCCAATAAAGCAATAGAACTCTTTTGAATATTTATCGAACCGAAATCGGGTCTACAACATATCGAAACAATAACACAATATTTATTGGATTGATAAAACTTATTGGTCCTTTGTGCAACAATCCAAATTTTTATCGATTTGATAACCTAGTTATTGTTTCTATAACCAGTTATTGGTCGTCTGTGTATTACTGTTTGTTATGGATGGGTAGCGGGGGTCTCGGAGTTTGACCGGAATGTTGGTCAGCAGAATATTGTGGTATTTAAAATTATTGTTTTAGTAACACTGTGGAGTGTTGCTGTAATGGTAGTATTGTGGCAGTGAATTAAACTTTTTCTCCAAATCCAAAAGCCAAAAGTTCAACCACTATTTTTAAGTATTTATCGATGTCGGCTATAGTTTGGTTGCATTAATTTACAATATTTTTTTCGCAGGGCACTGCTCAATTAATTGACGATGATAATATAATATATGTTTGATCACAATATTAAAATACCGTGCTCTTATATAAGTAGCCGTTCTGGTTCTTCAACAAAGTTTCCAGAGAGAACACCGAAAGGTCTGGCAACTCACGAAGAATGGCGTTTTATTACTCGAAAATTTTCCCAAACATGTGTATGAAGTCGTCTTTCTACGACGACATAATGAACATCACCGAAATGCACTTGAACTATTACAGTGAGTATTGTAACCTATTGTTCCGCCTAATGATTAAAATTTCAATAAGTATTATTATTTGTAGTAAGATGTTTTTTGTTTCATACATTCCGGACTGTCGTTATATTTTACTTTTCGTAATTATTTATTTTAGGTACATGGTTTTTCAGAAGTCATCAACCAATTTCTTAACCTCATTTATTTTAAAAAATATTAACATTAGGTGGATTAAAATATAACATATTCTTAAAATAATTGAGTCTTAATAAGTTTGCTTACTAATTTTCCATATCACCTAAACTGACCACCCAGCACACAATATCTTCTACCTGTACAATATTCAGATTCCTCCCCAAAGTATTTCTGTAAATATTGCTAGCGATGGTCTAACCAGAGTTATAATATATAACATAATTATTATTGTGTTGCCAATTGATATGTACATTAGATATTTTATTTAAAAAAAATCTAACCTAAAAAATTCTTGAAAATTTAATACATTTAATAACACAACCCACGAGTTAAAATATACTTAAGTATATTTTAATTCGTGACACAACCATAATATCATATCATATTGCTCTGTGATAAAATGAGGGTGCGACGTCCTCAATATCATTAATTTCGACGATTGTGATAAGAAATTTTTTAATTCGAATTTTTTTTTTCCATGGTTGGTCATGTTGGCGTTGACAGTGGTTCTTGTTGGTTGTAACTTGTAGGAGAATAGCTGCCTTCTGCTGAAACCCGTCCCCCCTTGTATAATAATTTTGAATCGAAATTTGCTGTCGACAAACACGTTTTTATAATACTTTTTGGAAGTATTAATCATAGACGTAATCCGGTTTGTGTAGCCATTGGCGAAACTGCTGCACACGACTTGGTAAGCTTATTTCTCTATATACACTTGACCAACATGATTTAATATACGCTTGTGGCTTATTTTTTTATACGTCTCCGTCAAATAAAGAAGTGGTCGTACAATACGTGTTGTCAATATGATTACTTATAGTCTATTAAATATACAATTATTATTTATGCCTAATGTAGATGTAACATTATAAATAACAAAAATGAATATTTAAATCAATTGCATTTTAATTAACCTCTTTAAAATACGAGTTTTGGAAAAAAATACTTACAATGGTTTCGATGGTGGTATGTCTAAAAATTATCTTATAGTTTAGGGGTAATCAATCAAAAAAAAAAATTTCCGTTTTCCAGAATTTCTCTTTCCATTAAAACCTTATTCGGACTTGACAAAAAAAACAAAAAAAAAAAATTGCCAAATCGGACATGCCGATCATGATTGATGCATTTACCAAGAAACAGCGTTGCATTTTTATTTTAATAGATAATAATATTATGAACTAATCACTAATCAATAAACATTAATATACATTTTTTTTCAGAGAGAAACATATAATTGAAAATAATGTTGTAAATAATTTTGAAGCACCAAGACGGTCAAGTAGAAAAATTAAACTTACTACAACTAATGACAATATGAGTAATGAAAATATGCCGACGATCCAAACCGATTGATTTGACGTTCAAATTCTAACAGTTATTTGAAACAGATGTAATACCTGCAGTGTTAACAAACTACTAAGGTAATAATAATATAATAGAGTTCTGGTCTAATGACTTTTAAGTTCCTAAAATGTATTAAAAATATTATGAAGGGTACCAGGGCAGCTTATTTATAAAATATTGTTAAAGTACAAATAAGTTGCATCTATTAATTTAATAAGTAGGTACGTCAAGGTTTAATGATACTTATAACTGATATCTAATTTATAAGTATGTTAAGATTGGTATATGTTTGTCCTATGATACTATTTTGGGGCGTCCAATTATTACAGCGTTGAATTTTTGTAATTTTTTGTAAATACCTATTTGATCACCCCTGTTAACATTTTCTGGATTGCGACTGATATTAATCATATTATATATTTTTTTCTTCAAAATTATTGATATAGTTTATATTTATTCCAAATTCAATACCAGACTTATTAAAAATATAATACTATGTTTATATTAAAATGTATTTTTATAATAAAATCATGGAACTGTACTACTATTTATATAAATAAAAATAATTTCACAAACTTTCTGTGTATAATTAGTTTTTAAATAATGAATGTTGAGCTGACCATAAATAAGTTTTGGTGAATCGAGTATATCAGTTTTTTTTAAATAATTATTGGACAGTTATAATCATTTTACTTCTTATACATGAATAATCTTAATAAAACCATTAGAGTAATTGTTTATTCAAATAATCATTAATTTATCACTAGAAGACATATCATCTATTCTGATACTTTTGATGTCTATTCGATAAATTATTAGATTAAGGGGACTTTACAGTGACACTTGTTATCTCCGACTCATAAATGCGTAACACACCAAATTTTAAGCTCAGCGGAACACGTTTCCCGTTAGCTCAAAAAATTAGAGCGAATTTACCTCTTATAAAATTTAATGGTAAGATTATAATCTAGACAATGACATAGGCTTTTTATTATATTGTAAACTTAATGCTGTAAAAGTTTGATTTGATGTTGTTATAAAGGTGATGTAGGCCTATAACCAGAATTTTTTTTAAGACTTAATTTGTCATTCCCAAATCTGAAGTCTACTGTCTCGCATATTATCTAGTTGGAAAATGTACAATTGTCTGGACTTCTATTCATTCACAATAATTTGTGTCCTCCTTATCGTCAATTATTTCCCAGTCTTTCAGGTTCTCCCTCGTTAGGTTAGTCGACTTTAAATCAAACTACCTATATTATAGCATTCTGTTTTAATTGTTCATAAATATTATCATCAATTGTCCAGATGTTTATTATAATATAATAAAAAATACTATCAAATAGATATGATTAATAAATTATGTTTTCAAATAAGATTTAGGTAATTAGATTTAATATTATGTACTTTGAATTAAAAAATATTTTGATTTTAGAATATTCTGAAATGACTTCAATGAAAGACAACATAAAAGTTGAAGTCACTGGTGATGCTGATTCCAGGTATTTGCACATAGTCTACATATTATTTTCATCTGTTTTTAATTTAATAATTTAATTTTATAAAGTATTGTTAATTAATTATATTTTTAATTCTATAGTGAAATATATGTTGAAAACACTATTGAAGATCCTGCATTGTATACAATTGAAGATAATCGTGTTTCTTTGGTATCTGAAAATGTTGAGAAAGTTATTAAGGTCGAAACTAATGCATTGGATGATTGTATATTTGAAAGTAAATTCGAAATAGTCAAAGATGTTGCCTACCAAAGTAATATGGAGTTACTCTTAGATAGTCAGGTAATGCCTTTTAAATATGTTATTCTTATCGTATGCGGTTTATCACTTGTTTTCAAGTGGCATATTCTTTCTACCAGATTTTAAGAAGACTATCATACATAAATTATATAATGAATTGATATATTTGAAATAATTTACATTTTATTAATAAGTTATGAGAAACATTTTATTGTTTTATTAATTTGAATAAATTTTAACAATCCCTGGCGATTTTGTAAAAATACCAAGGCTGGGCAAGTTAACTATTTTTTTTAACTCGTTAAGTTAAGTTAATATAGGAAAATGTAAGTTAAGTTTAAAGTTAAAAGTTAACTTCATTTTTTTTTAACTTGTAAAAGTTACAAGTTAATTAGAAAATAAAAGTAACTTAACTTAGTTAAAAATAAGTTACTTTTTTTTTAAAATAAAATTAACAATTATACCTACCTACCTTTTTTAAAGCTAACAAATAACATAATAATTCAATAAATCAAAAAATGTTTTACAATATTTGAATAAATGTTTGTAATAAAATTAGTTACTGTAGGTACTTATATTAATTTTGTGTATTATACTTTAATTAGGTAAATAGTAAATACCATGCTACTACGGGTATTATTTACATCGACGGGGCAAGTTATCACCGTAATTCTACGAATGAATAAAAATATAATTAAGTAATGATATTAATAATGATTAGGTATAGGTTAGGTGATATGTCGTGTATGGGATAGGTACTGAGAAAATTTTTATATTTTTCTTTGACGCGGTTACCCACTTACCCCTATGAGATTTCCCTCTATAATATAGTTAAAAAATATTTTCTGTGAATATGCAATATAAAAACTTACTATTATTATAAATTATTATTTAATAAAATATATTTAATATTTCGGGGTTTTTTTTTATGTAATTAATTTTACAAAATTGAATTAATTTTAAATAATATGTGGTTTGGGAAAAAAATTAACTTAACGTGCCAATAAAATTAATTAACTCGTTAAGTTACTGAATAACATGGGGAAAAATGTTAAGCTTGAAGTTACTTCTAAAAAAAAAAGTAACTCGTTAATTAACTTAGTTAAAAGTAACTTAACTTTTTAACTTAACTTTAACTTATTAACTCGTTAATGCCCAGCCTTGAAAAATACTATTTGGTATACTCTCATTTATGAACTTAATGCAGTGTTGCACATATGCAATGAATATTGTTATTTTATAAGTTCAAAACAATTCAAATTCAACCTTTTAAAAAGCCTCTCGTGAAGAACTATTTTGCAAGACTCTTACAAAATACATTTATAAGTTACCCAAACTTTAACAAAAACATTTTTTTTGTTGTACCTACGCTTTTATTTTTCTCTAGTTAAAATTAATAATATATAACATTTAACTTGATAATTCTATTGGTAATTCTTATTAATCTGTGGCACGCAACTCAACATTTTATTTTAAAAAGAAATGCAATAACCACGGGTATGAACGATGATTAATACGGCCATGTACTATGTACTTAAATGTGGTAATAATCAATCCTTATTATTTATTATAAGGTTCTAACATTTAGATAATTAAAGGTATTTTAAAGTATAATATATACTATTTTAATAGGGTAAACCCTAATTTACCAAATGGTAAATGGGTATATGCCGTATGAATAGACAGATAGCGTCACTGTTATTTCATCAATACCACACATTCCTCTCAGAACCGCAACTTTATAAGACTAAATGTATATCTGAGCACATGCTCCACAATGTCCTCTTTTATTAAAAAAAAAAAAGGTGAAGGAAATCGAAAAATATATTCTCAAGTGATGCCATGACAAAGGTTAAGGGTTAATTTTTATATTTAGAGATTATATAGGTCTATATTTCATATATAAATAATATTCATTTAAAAATATACCTAATTAATTTTCTTATAAAATATTAATATTATATTTTATTTTATTACTATTCCTTATACTTAAACCTACAGTTTACAAAAACAATTTGGTTCATGGATATGTAATGTATGAACAGCATAAGCTTCATCTAAATATTTTCTACCTACCAACACAATATACTTTGAAAAAAAAATAAGAAAATCAAATATAAAAATAGTTACAATTGTTATTTAACCTCAAGAGTGGTTCTTTATCAACAGTAAACTCAAAAAAATCATGGGAAACAATGTTTGGTAACCGAAAGTATTCCATTAAGTCTGGTAAATATGTATTCCGATTTTCTCTATCACACTTGATACATTTCATTAGAGATTTATACACCTATTAATTATAATTAGAACATTTAGTTTCGGTCAAGCCGTTTCGGAGGAGTTCAATAATAAACACTGTGGCTGGACATTTTTACATAGGTATTAGATATACATTTCAACTTGATATGTTGTCGCAAAATGGGTGGCTAAATTGCACTTATTGCTGCAAGTTACATCCAAAAGGATTTGAACAATCACAATTTTTTAAAGGGTTGTCATTTTTTAAGGTCAACGAAGTGCATAGGGTCAGCTAGTACATATATATACATATAATATGTATAATGCATTTTATTATATTATCATATGTACACGTTTTTTTAGGAATAAATAGAGTGGTAATGGTAAAATAAAAGTGTTTTCTGAACTAAATGAAGCATAAATGCAATTAGGGGAAAAATATACATTTTGGAGTGTCACTTTTAACTGTGAGAAATAGTAAATTTTTTAATTAGAGAGGGGCTGAAAAGTTTTTTGTGGCAATAAGTAAAAGGAAACTTAGAAAAAAAAGGGGCTCCAAAATTGTAAATACTACTCTGCTTAGACGTGCATACACTTAGTACAAATATGCGAATCCATTATTATATTATAATACCTGGCTCTACTCGCAACCATCAAAATGAGCATGGCTACTAACCACTATTATGACCGTGTTAAAAATATTTAATGGAGATTAAGATTATCCACGTGAAGTTTTGAGCATCGCTGCTTCGAGTATTGAATGAACACAAATTGAACACAAATTTTTAATCATATAGAATAGGTATTTTTAACGGGCATTGAAGTGTACAGAATAAGCTAGTTATTAATATAATTATAATTAAGACAAATTGAATAGAATATTTTTTATTTTTGGAATTCTTGTCTGATAATAATATATAACTTGTTGTCCAATAGTAAAAAAATTAGTCTTTACTTTTTGTCCAACTTTTTTCAAAACATACTTTTTGACCGATTACCACGCCAATATTCCCAGTCATAAAACACCACTCATAAAAATTTAAAAAAATCTTTGCTAGCCTTTTTTACACAATCCAACAAGATACTGACATACGGGAAGTTAACTTATTTGGAATAAGAATATTAAGTTCAGATAGATCACACATATTTTGGTGGTAGATAGCATACAACAAGAGTACTTTAAATATATGAACATGAATTAATTATTTTATTGATAAATCATTTTTTGTTTTTCACAGGATGTTGCAGATAATAGTATTCACGTAAATCATGGAAATACAAGTGATAAAATATTTCTTTGTGATATTTGTGGAAAAATCTTTGTTTCAAATCATCTTTTAAAAAATCACTTGACCGAACACAAAAAACAAGTAAATTATAATACTAATAAATGTAAATTTTGTAAAAAACAGTTTAAGTTAAAGTTTGGTTTGAATACACACATTCAAAAACATCACAATTCCATGTATAAATATTCTAAGTATATTGAAAACAAAAAATACGATGAAAAAATAGATCAACCTAGGTTTGATACTATTCCTAATATAAATGGAACACAATTCTTATCCAGAGATATTACAGGAAGATATAGTTCAGATCATACCAGATTAGTGAAGAGCAATGCAACAATTGAATCGACTGTTCCACACACCTATATCCCAAGCAATAACATTATTTCAAATCCAGAACAAACTGAAATCTTATTGAATACCTTGGAAAGAAATAGTTCAGATCAAATAGGTTTAGTAAGCAGAAATTCAATAATTGTATCAACTGCTTCACAAAACTCAATTCAGTTTAATCCTACAGAAACTGAATCTACTGCATCTGATTCTGAGACAATGCCAAGAAAACAAAATAAAAAAAACAAATCAATTACAAAAACTAATTTCTGTAATTTATGTAATAGAAAATTCACAAAACGCTGTTATTTTACAAATCATATGATAATGAAGCATAATGTAAATACAAACATACCCAAACAACTTACATCGATTGATTATAACAAATCAATCATTCCGTCTGCAAACACAGAGATGACTAATGAATACGAAAACAAATTATCAGTTCCAGTAAATTACAAAAATAACAATCTGAACAACCATGTTAGTAAAAGCAATAAAAAGAAATCAATAATTTGCTTGATTTGCAACACACTTTTTGCACATCTCGGTGCTTTAAAAAGTCACATGCGTATTCATGGTAGTAAAACATACAAATGTCAATATTGCTACATGCAATTTGATAAGAAAGGCATTTGTACTATGCATGAGAAAACACATTGTAAAAGTAACCTTCCAGAGTTTACATCAAATAAAGCTACAAATATTTCTACCAAATCTGGTCGATTCGAATGTAATATATGTATGAAAACATATAGTACCTCTTATAATCTAAAAAAACATAAAAAAAATGTTCATAAGGTGTTAGATTCAACACCTTTAAATTCCTATGATAATACCTGTTTACAAAAGAACAAATTAATAGACGAAAATCAATAAAAACTAGTGATTAAGAAACGAAATAAACTTCATCACATTAATGGCACTAAATATGAGTTATGTGATAAAATATTTAGCAATGGAGCTAATTTAAGTCACCACATAACCATAATGCACACACAAACTTATGAACCTATGACCTGTAATGTTTGTGGAACTACATTTAAACACAAATTGTCTTACAGAAACCATTTAAAAACTAAACACAAGCAATTATTTAAGCAATATGAAGAAACAAACTCTACATATAAACCCAGACGTTAAATTATATCAGTAAATAAAACAAATATTATGAAATACTTTTGCAAGATAATATGTAAAATGAATTTTTGTGACAATATTACATTACAAGAACATTTAAAGATACATACTTTAAATATGTATGTGTGTAAAGACTGTGGTCAGCAGTTTGAGAGAAATCTTACTCTAGGTAATCATATTTTGGAAAAGCACAGTTCCAGTATTTCTACACCTAATTAAAATGAACATGTTGAGAAATAAAATAAAAAACATGTTTCTTTATACTGACTCATATTATATTCATATAATGAAATACGCATGAAATACGCAACTATACAAATTATGAAATATTGAAACTTAATTTAACAAATTGGTTACTACAATAAGTTGCTGATATCTCACCTGTATTATAAATTTATCTTAGGTAAATAGCTGTTATATCAAGTAAAAAAAAAAAAAAAAATGTAATTACGTTATTTTAAACTCATGGGTTACACTACATTGTACACTACATTATGTAATATTCTTGTATAAATAAATAATGTAAATAAATAATAATAATAATTCTTAGCTATAAAATTTGAAATTTGATAAATGTTTAGGTATATTTGTAATTTTAACTTTAACTAAATTTAAACCAACATTTTGTGTATGTATTTTTAAATTGATATTGTAAGACTACTGTATGAGGTACTTTGTACCAAATTGTCAAGATTTTTGATTTAACTGGGAACATTTTATTATGACATTTATGTACAAAAAATGTTATCATAAATTTAACTACATCTTTATGTAAAGTTTCTTTCCCAATGATGAATTTTTCTGTTAACGATAAATGTTCATTTTTTTTTTCAAAATCTTTTATCTAATGAGTAGTGAATTTTGAGTAACACCAATCAAGGGGTGTGCTAGCATATTTCAAACCCTTACTACATTATACATAATTTAAAGCTGTATGCTAATTTAGAATTATTGTTATAGAACGCCTTCAATTATTCAGGATAAACAAAATACTATAATAATTAATAACTATACATTTATCCACGGAAATTATAATTATTCATCTTGAATATCTGGAAATATATGTGATTCACTTCCTCCAACAAAAGTTTTAGGAGTTTAGATTTTCGGATTCAAGTTTAATTTTTTTCTTTTTCAATCTACAATTTTTTTTTTAACAAACCATGTAACTACTTAGTGGGTATATTAGTTATTAGTTGTTTACCTACTTGTTTTTTTGCTACTATTAAAAATGTATTAATAAATATATAATTAAAAATGCAATACTGTGTTTTTTAATTAATTTAACTATGCCTGTATTATTTTAAAATGTTACCTATACCATGTGAAAATATATTCATGGTACGTTTGTTGAAATGTAATTTATGGAAGTAGTATTATTTTTGGTTAATTTAATTTAATTATAACAATATTATTATATCCCTAGTAGCTAGATATAAGTAATCGAGGGATAGAATAAAGGTTTTGCTGCGCTGTATATTCATAGTCTATAATCATATGACAATATTATTGTACATCATAATATTTTCCACTCTAACAATAGTCTTTCCTTCATTGGCACAACAGCAATTGTTTCTTATATCCCCTGCGATAATGATAAAATTATGAAATCTTATTTTTTTATAAGCTGGTGGCTCACAACCAGATAGTAAAGGTCCATTTATATTATCACCACTAAATATTATTCTGTCACTTGAAATATTATATTCAAAGTCATGTGTAATGTGTTCCATTTTCACTAACCTCTTCTATTCTTCTTGTAATTTGCTGTAAAGGCCGATTAAAATTCAGAGTTAATTTTTTTATTTTCATCGTAAAATTTTCAAATTTAAAGCAACTGAAATTGTCCAGTACTTCAAGTTTTTTTGCATCATCACTTAAATGTAGCAAGCTATGAAAAATGTAGCTTATCATATAGCTCCCATATATAAATTTAAATGTAGTCAGAAAATACTGAATCAGTTTCCTAGCATATTCCAAATGAAAAGTTATTAAACAAGGTGAACAAAGTATGGTAATGGCAACATGTAATGTTAAAAAATTATTTTAATTTTCATCAGAAAGACAACATTTTAAAACAAAGACACCTGTGTATAGCAAAATTTGCCTAAACTCTGTCGCTTTAAACTGAATATAATATTTGAGGGACCTAGGTTTTCTTTGAAACTCTTGAGGAGTATTATTTCTGATTCCAAGCAACTTGAAGGATATAAGTTTTCTAAATCTCAATGGAATACGATGGTGCAAGTCCCCAGCCCACCATGCACTTACAAATTTTAACTATGCCCAAGCATACAAGATGTTGGTAAGTCCAAAGGAACATTTGAAACCATTCCAAAACCAATTATATTTTCCAAAAGACTTTGTATTAACATTCCATTCTGATCTTTTGAGTGGTATTCATGATCAATATGCTTTTTAAAATTTTGGTCTGTGCGTTTTACACCAATGATGTCTGGAAAGCATGTGCGTCTTTCTTTATGATAACCCCTAACATTACATTTAATACAACTGTTATAACCACTATGTCCTGTTATACAAAGCATAGATGCTTTAGCAGGAATATCAGCACAAAAACAATGTAATCTGACCGCCAAACACTTCTCCTCATATGTGAACCCATTTAGAATCACGTTATTAATTTCTTTAATAAAATCTTCTAAGTAAGCATAAACATCTGTAGGCTTTTTGACCTGACTATGGTATATGCCACTGATAAATACATAGTTTATTTTGAAAATCGAGCCTAAAATTGGCCAGATTTCATTGTATGATGAACGACTCAATGGTAAGCCATCAATGTTGAACATTAAGTTGATTGATTCATTTTCTAAATGATAACTTTTAGACCTCTCTAAAAAAGTAAATAATCCTAATTCCAATTCATAATGCCAATAACTACCTTCTGCTCCAACTGATTTGATGTAAGTAGTTCTGGGAGTTTTTAACAATGTTCGCGATGATGAAGGAAGATATTCAAGACCGCCATGTCTTTTAAGTATTTTCAGCAAACCATCCATAGTCTTTAAAGTAATATTTTCTTTGGTAGCCAAGGATGCTAGATGTGATTTGAAAATATTTGACATGTTTTGGGGTTCAATATCTGATGCGTGACATAAAGATTCATCTGAAAGTGAAAAAAAAATATACACAGGTAAAATTTAAAAGTAAATTTAATTTTTACTGTCAACATTTAAAAATAAAATTATTTAAAATGTATTGAACCAAAATCTATATATTGCACTATGTACCCCAAACTGACATTTTACTGTAAATTATATAGCGGATGATTGTTTTGTACATTCTATTTTTTTATTTATCTAAATCAAAATGTTAATGAGTAGTTCTTGAGTTATTAAAATGTTTTTACCAAAGATAATAGACCTTGGTAAAATTAACTATAATATATTATATTAATTGTATATATATATTATATATTATATATACATATTACATATAATATATATTAAATGTATTATGTATAAACTCAAATTAAATTACAACAAAAAATATTCTTACTTAGTGATATAGCAGGTTCAGATGAAGATGGTGGTACAATTTCAATTCCGGCATCATTATCAAACTGATCAAATTCCTAAATATATATATAAAAATAAAATAATTTTTTTTTTTAATAAAAAGGTTTTATTATACTTATTAGTTTTAGTTACCTATAACTTATAAGTTATTAGTATATTAAAATATAATAACTAAATTTTATTAGATTGAATACCTTTCTATAAATGATTAAGTATGTTTTATTTAGTGTTGTTTACTAGTTATATAATATATTATAAGAATTTTTATTAAATAGATCATAAAAGAAAACTGTTTCCTGAAATAACTTCTAATGAAGGCAAGTTTTTTTTAACTTTTAGACTACAAATATTTGTAAATTATACATAATTTTGTTTGATTTACTATTATTATTATACAGTTTAATTTACATTTTAATTAAAGAAATATTTTTTTCAGTATCTTCTTTTGATCAGAGTTGATTTGCAGAAGAGAAATCAAAAAAGAAATTATTTAAGAAGAATGTTGATTGTTTCGGTTAATTCAAATATTGGATGAGATTTAGATAAAATAATTGTTTTTGTAAATTTTATTATAATAGGTTCAGACTTTATTTCCATTAAATAAACTTCTGAATTTCAAAAATATGAATCACACACTAAATTCTTAATTGAGAATAATAAAAGACATTGTAATAACTTGAAAGTTTTCCTAAAATATAGGTATTAATTGTAATTTCTGAATTATATTTTTCTAGATTCAGAACTGATTTTTAATCAAAAATGTAAATCTCCTACTCGATTACTTAAAGATGCTGATGATAGTCAAGGTAAATTTAAACACGTTTTTTTTAGACATTTATTATAATTTTTGCATTATATTATTCTAGATACACAACTGATTTTTAATCAAAAAGCTAAATCTCCCACTGAATTACTAAAAGATACTGATGATAGTCTTGGTAACACATTTAACACATCAAATCTTTAAAAATTTATTTTATTATTTTATTTTATATTCTCGCCCAATATTCTCCTCTAACTCATGGCAGACACTCATCAAGCTCTCCAAATTACTTTCTTGCAATAAATGATAACAACTTTTTTAAATTCATATTTATGAATACTTTTTTTCCTATAATTTAGAAAAATATACCTGATAGTGATAATTAATATTCTAATGTTTTGTTCTAGGACCAAGAATTAGTAATTACATTGATAGTC